TTTCCCCCCCCCCCCCCTTAGAGATGGCTGATAGAAACCTTGCTGACGGGTATCCTATTTTATTTTAATTGATTATCAGGTATTGCTTTTGGAATAGATAAATTATATTTTTAATAAGATCATATGAGATTAGATCTTATGATTGATCCAAATAATTTTTTTTCATTGTACATGTTTATTTTCAGTATATAAATAAAGACACATTTTTAAGAAATATAATATTTGAATGGTGTAAAAATTAAAACACAATGACCTCTAATGTGTCTCTATATCGTAATATTCAGCCTATACACAAACAATAGTATAAATTCCATAGTGACCATAATGACTTTTTGGTGATCATTTAGATTTTGTGATCGCTGGGGGAGCACGCTGCTTGATTCGCACAGTTTGAGGATCATGAGATTTGTTTAATGTATCGGTCATAATTTTAAGAGAACGGATTTTTCTGATCCAGCAGTTGAAGTTGGGAAATGTTAGAATGGTAGATTGGTTTAAAAAATCAAGTTTTTTTTTGTTGCTTTGCACTGTTGAGTATCATTTAAAAACGGATTTGCCCCAAATTAAATATTAAAAAGAGTTATCAATATGTTTTTTTATTTTGCAATAACTTTTGAATTGAAACGAATTTTTTTTTTTTAAATTTACGTGTACGTTGACAACGCTCTAGAAGTTTTAGTAAAACTGAACCAAAGCAACACCGGGTACATTGGCTTGTATAAAAAAAAGTTTTGTCAGGTGGCATATATTTACAACCCACAATAAGCAGCACAGGTACAGTTAATACCATTAAATATTTTGAATGACAATTCTCAGTGTAAGGATGCTTTCTCTAACGTATTACAGCACATAACACTATTTTGGTTAACGTTTGTAAAAAAAAAAAAGGTGTAGTAGATTCTGATTTTCCGAATTCCGACCATGCACAACATCGATTATCCAAATGATCACATTTTTTTTTTATTTGATCTGTCGCAGTGTCCATGGCATACAATTAATAATATTTGATTTAGAAGTAATGCAAAAAATGGAGATGACAAAATTTTAAAAAATACTACAAAATAGTAACGTATTGTTATTTACGGTTAAAGCATATGCCTCTCAATGTGGTCAAGTTCTGGATGGGGTGGTTGGGGGGGGGGACTCAGAAAAGATCACCCTCTCAAAAAAAAATGTGCTTATTGCTTAGCAGACAAAGTATTAAAAATCCGTTCCCAGAGGAATCGAGTCCTGCGTTTTTACTAAGTGTAAAACAAAAAAATGGGCATTCATTTTATACGGCCATACAAAATGACATTTCTAATTGCTTATCACTATTATGACGTATAAGAAGTTAGGATTATTTCGCATGTACCTATATAAATATATATTTTTTTGAAATAATACATTTTAAATCTGAATATGAACGCTTCCGAGCAAGGGTTCTTGTCATATTTAGCTGCGTGGCTCCTATTGATTTCAAAACACTTCCCACATCTCCCATCTTGATATTTTTATAAAATTGTTTCCGCATCCACCCAATGAAAGATTTCTAACAAGCTGCATATAGTATGATTTTCTGGATACTCTCGCACCGTTGGAAATGCCCCCGCCCCCCCCTTTTACCAACTCCCCCTCCCCAAACCAAAAAAAAAGGGGGGTTGGTGAGGTTGAGCACACTATAAAAAGAACCCCTGCTGTAGAGCGTCGTCTTTTTTTTAACTACCGGGACCAGGGTGTCCTTACAACTGGACACGCCAATGGAAAGATTGAATCAATGACGTTGACATTACATGCTTACATTATAGTCTATCATGAAATGTACGATGTCAAGGTATCAGCCAGTGACGACGCGAGACTATTGGAGGCCCCCCTGCCAGTTTTCTGCTTTGTGCTCCTGCATTCAAAGTTGATAGCTTAAATCTTTCTCACACGATAAAATTGGGGCATTTCCTTATCGGAGGTTCCGTGGTGCAGCAGAGGCTGCAAGGCAAACGCGACAGCACCGGGTCAGCTGATTGTATGCACGCCTTGTGCATTACTACATGGATTAAAATGATTATTCTGATTAAAGATATTACAATGATAATAATTAAAATGATGTGAAAGGCTTATCAACATTTCTAAAACAAATTCTTATATACAAGTAATAGAAAAGTAAACATGATTGAAATGCAAATTAAAAAATATAAAAATATATTTTTTATGAAAATTTTTCTAAATGTTCTTTTAACTAAATATAAACGAATGCAAACTTGAAAATGATTGACGTCAAAACCAAAACGAAAACTGCTTCAAAATGTTCCTTTAAAGAATTAACTAATGCAAAAGTTTATAATATTGACCAACAATGAAAATAACACCAAAACAAATATAAAAAAATCAAAAAAAATCAAGATTCATAGTGTTCTTTTCAAGAAACTGTCCAGAACACGACAACATTCGATTGATCGTTTTGATCCTCTTCAAACTTTGATCCTAAAAGGGATGACTTCTTTGACAAAACTGTTTGGTAGCTCCAAGTTCACCCATGAGTATTTTGTTCCGCATAACAAATCATACATGATGTATAATATAAAGTCGCATGCAATCAGCAAGATGTTCTATTGAGCTTTGCAGACATTGACATGGTCGATTTAACATTTGGTCTCTTCATTATCTGTATTTATGAAATAAGAGACATTTTATTATGGGCTATATTTATTAGTTAAGAAAGTTGTATGATCTATGCGCAATCAATTTGTAAAGTTAAGACCAATGTCATTTCATTATCAAATGCTATAATAATAAAAAAAATATGTATCTATTTCATTAGATACTTGTGAATATGGGAGGTGGGGGTGGGACATCCTTCTGATTGGCATGTCATTTTCAGAATATTCAGTTACTTCCATTTTGGAGGGGGGAGATGGAGTAGTCTTAAGATGATGTAGTTGGGGGGGGGGGGGGGGGGGGAGGAGCCTTCAGATGATGTTGTTGGGGGTTCGGAGGAGCCTTAAGATGGTGTAGTTTCCTAAAGAATATATCCTTGAGGCATGTTTGTTCCCAATCTCTGTGACTGGTGGAGCGAAGTTTTTAATGAGTTTCCTTTTGGGGAGTCTTGAAGCCTACAATGACTTGATTGAGGGGTTTTCCCCTCCTTCATTAGCCTACCAGTATGACCTGAGGGGTTGTCTCCTCCTGCCTTAGCCTACCATTATGACTTGAGGAGTTGTCTCCTCTTGCCTTAGCCTACCTTTATGACTTGACGGGTTGTCTCCTAAGGCCAACCGTATATCTTACTAGTTAGTCGTGTTTAGGAGCATTCTTGAGCGAGCGTCAGGTATCCTGAGCTCCGGTGCACCATAAGGAAACCACTAGTTTGGACACTATACCCGCTAATTGACAGTTCATTCTGAAGGTATCAGCCAGTGACGACTCGAGACAATTGGAGCCCCCCCCCCCCCCCACTCTCGGTAGCTGCAGTAACAACAGACAACCTCAACCTCTTTAGGGCTGTCAAGGGACGGTCGTGTGCCCGTTCAATTCTCGGCTACCCAAAACAAAATAAGAAACAGGACTCTCCAAAAATGTACTAAAATTTAAAAATGAATGTCCACTGGCATACTTCAAATTTTAACTGAATAATTTGAATAGAGCCCCTATCAATAGGATATTTACAATAGCCTCAATGGAATAGTCGACTGGCGGGGATCCTATCCTAAGAAAGCGTTGGTCACCCATGAACTCAATTACTTTGTTTCATCTGATTTTGAGATCAGGAAGTCTGGCCATATTAAGAAGCAAGATTTGACCACTAACAAAAATAAGTAAAAGGACTTAGCTATCTACTAAAAAGTCCTTCAACGTCGGTATTTTATTTGATTCACTACATGATACGTTTATGTCTAGATTTTTGTTCTCTACTTAGACCAGATAAAGATACAATAATGTCACAGTAAAAAAAAAATCGGTGCAGGACACGGAACAATGAAATACCGTAAACTATCCAATCCGCATTTATTATTGTGTTAATGGTGAGTTTTAAGCAACTGAATATCGTCAATGTTAATTTGTTTCTATCTCACACTGAGGCTTCAAATATTCATCAATGTATCCTCTGCTATGATATTTATGTGCTATATAAATGGTAAATTATGCCTGTTTGTACCGCATACGGCTCTACATGGATTAATGGCTCATGATCCAACTTGGGATACACAGATATTACCCTCTCTTAAAAAGTAATATTTTTTTCATAAAAATATACCGTTTAGGCTTGGTGGCCAAATTTTTTTTAAAAAATGAGCCATATGAATAAAATTACAATTATTGGGAAGGATCTAGACCAAAATAAGTACAGTGTAACTTTAATATCTTTATTGAAATACTTGAGGGTCTGAACTGATAATATTCACCACTGACGGGCACAGGGAAACTAATTTCAGTTCCTTTTATATATACTAAAGCCTTTATATTTAAATGGGACGACTTTAAAATATTAATTTGACAATATCTATTGAAATTGAAACACTGCTAAAACCCAGTGTCCAGTGGCTAACACTAACGATGACACTGGACCCATTGCCTACCTTGTTACACGGAGGCTGCTGTCAAGTAAAGGCAGTATGGAATGTTGAAGGGTAGCGCCAAAAAGGGGGGGGGGCATAGGAATGAGGAGATCGTGGATTATTGGAAAATGAGAAAGTAAGTTTGGGTTATGTGAGGGTGTACTCGGGTGTTTTGGTGATATGAGGGTGTACTCGGGTGTTTTGGTGATAATAAGGTGTACTCGGGTGTTTGAGGGATACGAGTGTGTACTCGGGTGTTTGTTTGGAATAGGGGTGTACTCAGGTGTTTGTTTGGTATGGGGGTGTACTCAGGTGTTTGGTATGAGGGTGTACTCAGGTTTTTTGGTGATATGAAGGTGTACTCGGGTGTTTTGGCGATATAACGGTGTACTCGTGCATTTAATGATATGAGGGTGTACTCGGGCTGCTGAGTGATCAGAGGGTGTACTCAGGTGTTTGGATGATACGAAGTGTACTCAGGTGTTATGGTGAAATGAGGGTGCACTCAGGTTTTTTTTTGTGATATGAGGTTGTACTCGGGTGTTTTGGCGTTATGGGGGTAGACATGGGTGTGTGGACGATATGAGGGTGTACACGGATGTGTTGGTGATATGGGAGTGTACTCGGGTGTTTGGTTGATTCAAGGTGTTTGTTTGGTATAGGGATGTACTCGGGTGATTGGGTGATATGATAGTTTACACGGGTATTTGGGTTATATGAGGGTGTACTCGGGTGTTTGGGTGATATGATGGTTTACTCGGGTGTTTGGGTGATATGATGGCTTACTCGGGTGTTTGGGTGATATGATAGTTTACACGGGTATTTGGGTTATATGAGGGTGTACTCGGGTGTTTGGGTGATATGATGGTTTACTCGGGTGTTTGGGTGATATGATGGTTTACTCGGGTGTTTGGGTGATATGATAGTTTACACGGGTATTTGGGTTATATGAGGGTGTACTCGGTTGTTTGGGTGATATGATGGTTTACTCGGGTGTTTGGGTGATATGATGGTTTACTCGGGTGTTTGGGTGATATGATGGTTTACTCGGGTGTATGGGTGATATGATGGCTTACTCGGGTGTTTGGGTGATATGATGGTTTACTCGGGTGTATGGGTGATATGATGGCTTACTCGGGTGTTTGGGTGATATGATGGTTTACTCGGGTGTTTGGGTGATATGATGGTTTACTCGGGTGTTTGGGTGATATGATGGTTTACTCGGGTGTTTGGGTGATATGATGGTTTACTCGGGTGTTTGGGTGATATGATGGTTTACTCGGGTGTTTGGGTGATATGATGGTTTACTCGGGTGTTTGGGTGATATGATGGTTTACTCGGGTGTTTGGGTGATATGATGGTTTACTCGGGTGTTTGGGTGATATGATGGTTTACTCGGGTGTTTGGGTGATATGATGGTTTACTCGGGTGTTTGGGTGATATGATGGTTTACTCGGGTGTTTGGGTGATATGATGGTTTACTCGGGTGTTTGGGTGATATGATGGTTTACTCGGGTGTTTGGGTGATATGATGGTTTACTCGGGTGTTTGGGTGATATGATGGTTTACTCGGGTGTTTGGGTGATATGATGGTTTACTCGGGTGTTTGGGTGATATGATGGTTTACTCGGGTGTTTGGGTGATATGATGGTTTACTCGGGTGTTTGGGTGATATGATGGTTTACTCGGGTGTTTGGGTGATATGATGGTTTACTCGGGTGTTTGGGTGATATGATGGTTTACTCGGGTGTTTGGGTGATATGATGGTTTACTCGGGTGTTTGGGTGATATGATGGTTTACTCGGGTGTTTGGGTGATATGATGGTTTACTCGGGTGTTTGGGTGATATGATGGTTTACTCGGGTGTTTGGGTGATATGATGGTTTACTCGGGTGTTTGGGTGATATGATGGTTTACTCGGGTGTTTGGGTGATATGATGGTTTACTCGGTTGTTTGGGTGATATGATGGTTTACTCGGGTGTTTGGGTGATATGATGGTTTACTCGGTTGTTTGGGTGATATGATGGTTTACTCGTGTGTTTGGGTGATATGATGGTTTACTCGGGTGTTTGGGTGATATGATGGCTTACTCGGGTGTTTGGGTGATATGATAGTTTACACGGGTATTTGGGTTATATGAGGGTGTACTCGGTTGTTTGGGTGATATGATGGTTTACTCGGGTGTTTGGGTGATATGATGGCTTACTCGGGTGTTTGGGTGATATGAGGGTGTACTCGGTTGTTTGGGTGATATGATGGCTTACTCGGGTGTTTGGGTGATATGATGGTTTACTCGGGTGTTTGGGTGATATGATTGTTTACTCGGGTGTTTGGGTGATATGATGGTTTACTCGGGTGTTTGGGTGATATGATGGTTTACTCGGGTGTTTGGGTGATATGATGGTTTACTCGGGTGTTTGGGTGATATGATGGTTTACTCGGGTGTTTGGGTGATATGATGGCTTACTCGGGTGTTTGGGTGATATGATGGTTTACTCGGGTGTTTGGGTGATATGATGGTTTACTCGGGTGTTTGGGTGATATGATGGCTTACTCGGGTGTTTGGTTGATATGATAGCTTACTCGGGTGTTTGGGTGATATGATGGTTTACTCGGGTGTTTGGGTGATATGATGTTTTATTAGAGTGTTTTGGCAATATGGGGGTGGACACGGATGTGTTGGTTATTTGAGGGTTCATGTAGGGTGATATTAGGATTGACTCTAGGTTTTGAAGCCACGATAAATATTAGACATAAAGATGTTATTTAATTTTTTTTTGACATAGAAGACATGTTACCTTCAGATTTGAACCATTTCTGTTGGAACTCTTTCAGAAATCGTTCCTTGTATTCTGATGGGCTACACGTCACTGTGTTGAGCTACATAAAATGCAATTTAAAGGAAATTATCAAAGGTTTTAATTACATTTAACGCTATTAAATCATATGGAATATCGACTATCGAATGTAAGTATCGTATATTTATATAAATATTATTTTATTTTAGGATTATGATTATTGGCAGTTTGATATACGGCGCATGTTATTTAGATATACATGCTGCCCGCCTAAAAAGTGAGAACATCTTGTAGCAAATGGTTATAAAAATATAATTGAATAAATGTAACATTTGTTCACTTGCATGTGTATGCCAAGTATTACGGTAATCAGAAAACAAGTTCAGTGTGTCCCTCCCACCTCCCTGCTTCTCAACAACTTTTCGCGAGCGTTGTTTCTGTCAATAAAGGGCTGCTGTAGATTATTCCATTCAAATTTTTTAAATACTTGAGCTGCTTAACTGTAGTAAATTTTTGTCAGCGGTAGACGTGTTTTTGCAACGAACCTCAAACGGCTTAATCGAATGGGTTTTAAAATCAGGACTGTGTGTTAGCTGAAAGTTTATCGGATATATGTAATGGAGCAGGGTCCCGCTTAAATGTTCCGTAACGGCCAAGACATGTCGCTTGAATGTCAGCTAGCAAACCTCGCTCGAGAACAGTTTCACAAAAAAATATTCCAAGCTAACTGTGTTCTCTTGTTCAAAGAACTAGTTTTCCCCCATCCGACTGTTCCCATGATACCGTGTGTGAAAGGTTCTCCTTCTCGTGTAAATTTCCTTTCATGAAATTGCTTTTTTTTAAAATTCAGTTGGATCAATACGATCATTTTGAAAATTTAACAGTCAACTGTGAATATCTTTTCGTCTCTAACAAAATACTTCTCGGGAAATCATTAAGTTACTGCTTACAGCGTTGCAGAAGTTTTATTGTGAAAGTTTCGCCGAGCGCCCTCCCAGATCACTGGCCTGCATGTCTTAAGTTGTAAATCTTGTTTTAAATTATGTTTACATAGACGACAGTAGTACACCCGTTTCTCTTTTAGTTCCCGCGGACTTTTGTGACGGGTTTGTATCAACATCTGGACCGGCTCTATGTTCTGTCGTGTTCTAGTTTCCCGCGGAATTTGGTGACGGGTGGGTAATCAACATCTGGACCGGCTCTATGATTTGTCGTGTTCTAGTTTCCAGCGGACTTTTGTGACAGGTTTGTATCAAAGTCTTGACCGGCTCTATGATCTGTCATGTTCTAGCAGACTTTAGACGACAACTTGCGGGTTTATTTTCTGTGGTAACATCGTTATGCTAATTTTTTTCTCCTTCTACTTCCATGCGCCCACGTTCTGGAACCAGCACCCCTTCCACATCCGTCATTGTGAAACCTCGTCCACTTTCATAAAGTCCCTTAAAACCCATCTATTTAGGTCCGCCTATGACCTGTGATGCTTCTTCCTTGCCCTGCCTCATTTTCTGTCTCAGGTTGATCCTGTATTTAAGTATATTCCAAAGCGTTCCAAGTGTACTTGTTTTTATAGCCATTTTAATGTATTAGCTACTAATTTTATAATCATTTTTCACATTGTAGTTACTATTCTAGTGTCTCTGGTTTTTCATTTTATTTTTACTTTGGCAGTTTAAATAGTTTACATATTTTTGATAATGTAAAGCGCTTAGAGCTGTAAGGAAAGCTCTATACACAAATACCAAAATACTAATAATAATAATAACCCGTCTGACACTAGCTATGACCTAGACTTTGGAAATTCATTTATCATCCGTCTTTCACCCAATTATTTTTTTAATTTTTTTTTTCAATTCGCAAATTTCCATCAGAATGCTATCTTATGCTCTGATTGTTTTTTACTCTGGTTAAATATTGTCCAAGAGAAGAAAAAGTAGCAAAGTCTTGCAGACAACTGACAATTTAAAAATAAAATATGGTGACCATATTAATAACATATAGTTAAAAATGCGCTGAAGTAAATAAGTGTTTTTTTTTTAAAAGCTAAATAATGTATTAAGGATACAGTTGAAATCATTTCGATGTAACTATATTAAATTATAAGAGATGTTCTCACTTTTGGGCCTCCCTGTTTACGTAAGATCTTTTATTATTGCAGTTTTAACGTTTAGAAATAGTACGATTAGTTTTCAGAGATATGCCATTTAGTAATTCAATATTTTGAGACTGATATTTAAAGATAAGGTACTTTATACGGTAACATATGTATTTGATATTTAAGGTTAAGTGAAATACTGATTGGTATTTATGTAACTAATTTGGTCTATCATCTATCTATGTATCTAATCTATCTATGTATCTAATCTATCTATGTATCTAATCTATCTATATATCTAATCTATCTATCTAATCTATCTAATCTATCTATCTATCGATCTATCTATCCATCTATCCATCTATCCATCCATCTATTCATCGATCTATCCATCGATCCATCCATCGATCCATCCATCGATCCTTCGATCCATCCATCCATCCATCCATCCATCCACCCATCCACCCATCCACCCACCCACCCACCCACCCATCCACCCACCCACCCATCCATCCATCCATCCATCCATCCATCCATCCATCCATCCATCCATCCATCCATCCATCCATCCATCCATCCATCCATCCATCCATCCATCCATCCATCCATCCATCCATCCATCCATCCATCCATCCATCCATCCATCTATCTATCTATCTATCTATCTATCTATCTATCTATCTATCTATCTATCTATCTATCTTACTATCTATCTATCTATCTATCTATCTATCTATCTATCTATCTATCTATCTATCTATCTATCTATCTATCTATCTATCTATCTATCTATCTATGTACGTATGTGTGTGTATGTGTGTGTTGATTGGAGTTTAGAGATTTGTTAATTCTAGTGCACAAGACATCAATCGTGTTGTCACATTGTTTCTACCTGAAATGGTTTAATGATGCTGTGACCCAGTTTTCGAATCCCCGCGTACTCTAGTAAGTGTCCTCTGATTCCGATGAAGATTAAGAGTTGTTTTTTTTCGTTTCCCGTCGCTTTTATCCCGTGTGATCTTTGACTAGAAACAGAACAATTCAACGTTAAATCAAACGAAATTATATTATGACAACATCATCAGCTTCATTATAAATAATGATATCGACTGAGTACCAACCGGGCCTTCTAATGCTCACATACTTTCGGAATATCTTTCCAGTTTTATGATAATCATCTCCTTTGTCCGAGGACATGTTTAAAGTGACCTACTCTATTTATTCTATTATGGGTGTTCATGTAGCGTTATATTGTTTTATGAATTCAGTTTTTCTTCAGATTAGACTTGTTAGATCAAACAGGCGATAACAATGATTCTGATTTTATCAATAATCAATTAAATTGCACTATTAATTTGATATAAAATACCAAAATCAAATATAGAGAATAATAAAAACTATATTAACTCGCAGTTCAGTTAATGAAACAGTGTAATACTAAAAGGTGTAAATACAAAGCATTACACACAGGATACAAAACTAAGTCATTCTAGTAGGGCTCCTGTAAGTCTGGCAAGTCTCTTGAGTCGGTCGGTCCCAGACGACTTTCGTATTTATAGTGATGGATTCGGAGCAATTACAGAACAGCAAGGCTAGAAATTCAATCGCCAGAGAGTATTTTCTATCACTATATAGACGGTTCTAGAAATTATAAGCAAAGTTCCCCAATCAATTCCAGGAAGGGGTGGTGGTTGGAAGTGGCAGCACCTATCAACAAATTAATTATTCAATTCAGTAACATTACAAAAGCAGGAGGTAAGAGATTCAGACCAGGGCTTCACACTATGCACGGAGGACAAAAAATAAATCAACACAAAATTATAACAATAAAAAAACCAGCAACGCGACTGAAGCCATAGATCGATTCCCATAGTCAGTGCAATTATCATTTGATCTATTATCGATCTTTGACCAAAAAAAGAGCGCATTTAAGACAATTACTTTTCAAATGATTGGTAGCTAGAGGGCAAGAGCTTATAAATGAACAGTTGATAGAGGACAAGAGCATATAACTGAACAGTAGCTAGAGGGCAAGAGCTTATAAATGAACAGTTTATAGAGGACAAGAGCATATAACTGAACAGTAGCTAGAGGGCAAGAGCTTATAACTGAAAGTTGATAGAGGACAAGAGCATATAAATGAACAGTAGCTAGAGGACAAGAGCTTATAACTGAAAGTTGATAGAGGACAAGAGCATATAACTGAACAGTTGATAGAGGACAAGAGCTTATAACTGAACAGTTGATAGAGGACAAGAGCTTATAACTGAACAGTTGATAGAGGACAAGAGCATATAACTGAACAGTTGATAGAGGACAAGAGCATATAACTGAACAGTTGATAGAGGACAAGAGCTTATAACTGAAAGTTGATAGAGGACAAGAGCATATAACTGAACAGTTGATAGAGGACAAGAGCTTATAACTGAAAGTTGATAGAGGACAAGAGCATATAACTGAACAGTTGATAGAGGACAAGAGCTTATAACTGAACAGTTGATAGAGGACAAGAGCATATAACTGAACAGTTGATAGAGGACAAGAGCTTATAACTGAAAGTTGATAGAGGACAAGAGCATATAACTGAACAGTTGATAGAGGACAAGAGCTTATAACTGAAAGTTGATAGAGGACAAGAGCATATAACTGAACAGTTGATACGGAGCAACACCCGTATAATTAAAAGCAGACAGAGGACAAGAGCAGTACATCTGAATAACACAAAGAAATCAATAGCTTGTAAATGTAGATGAAGGCAAAAAGTCGTCCTTTGAAAAAGTAGCTAAAATCCGATTCCTGTTATAAGAGCACGATGCCACCTAAAAAGGACCTAAAGGTCAATCTCTTGTCTAGCAGTTAATTGAAAGTCAACTGCCTTGATCTAATCTATGTCTTTAAAATTTTGTAACAGTACATAATTGAACATAAAGTTCTGGTAACTGTAGGTGCCAGGTATATGGCGATCTCTTTACCTGTTACTGGATACCAATAGTTTTGAAATGTAAAGAGTTTTGGTCATGTTATGTTTTCTAAATGTAAAGCGGATGAACAACTTTACATGGTCCATGAAAATAGCCCAATGGTTGGGCTCCCCCAGAATGCAAGTTATGAAAACTATCTAAAATACGGTGAATCTAAGAGGCAAAGTATATGTAAAAGTAATAATTAATATACTACACCATAAAGTATAAAAGGGTATCTGTATTGAAACACACGTCAATTGGTCCAGGGGTTAATAATAAAAAAACGAGTTATTTAATTATTTTTATGTTTATTATTATTATTATTATTACTATTATTATTATAATGACGTAAAACTTTTACCCAACTATTCCAAACGAATCCCTCTGTAAGGTTCGGCCATCAAGAGCGTCTCGACCGATTTCAAGTTTAGGGATAGTTTGCTGACCTTTGACTTCATGTATGGCAACGGAAAGGTAGTAATTGATCCAGTTGTTGTTATTTAGAAACTGTTTGAGAAATCATAGACAATTCATACTTGTAAGTTTTTTTGTTTTAGGTGGTTTTATATTTAAATGCAACACTCTGTTTTTTTTGTAAAACTTTTTAGCTAATATGCGTTGAGTAGACAAAAACTAGTATCGGTTACTTTGTCCCTGGGCCATTCCACATAAGGCCGTTTCGCCACCAGCCCTTATTGCATCTGGCCATTTCACCTCCAGTCTATTTCGCTTTCGGCCCATTTCAACCCCGGCCATTTGCCACCGTCCCATTTCACCTAGGACCGTTTCGCCTAAGGCTGATTCGCCTCCGCCCATTTCGCACCGGAAGATTCCCAGACATAAAAAAAATTTCCCAGAAAATGTGTAAGGAAAAAAAAGCAATAATTTAAAGACACGTTGATTTTGAATATGTGGATGTTTCAAGAAAGTCTTTTTGTGTAAACGTCAACGCTTATATGTTGTTATGAGTTTTGAGTCTGTTTGTTAGGTCCATACAATCACCAGAGGGATATTATTGATTTGGACCAGAAAAAAAATTAAATTGATTATTTTAGCCCTTTCAACAAATGCTTGACAACCCACCCCCCCCCCCTCCCCCCCAAACACCATAAAATTCTCCTCCGACAAAAGCCAAAGAGAACAGACGCTAGAGGCAAAAGTCCCCTTACTTTCACTAGCATGTTTTTTTTTTTGTTTTTTTTGCTGGAATGTATAGAGTTACATTGATGGATTTTACGTTTTTTTTTTAAAAATGATGTCAACCATATTAAGTGAAAAACTATATTATGGAAGTATTTTGTTTATGAGTGGCATCAGCACAGCATCTCCTTATCGCTTATCTTTACAATCCCGAAAAACATATACGATTTATCTAACATAACGTGTGTCACCCAACTCTTGAAAATGCAGGCTGGGCCACTTAAAACCGTTACACATTCGCTATATTTTGCACAACCCTAATTGCAAACAGGTAATCACGACCGCAAAAAGCTTCCTATCAGAATGAGACGTGCCCGTTTTATGTAGCCTCCCTCTAGTGTATAAAAGATTATATAAAGCTGTATAAACTCAATATATTTAAGCTCTCTATTTAAGTATTTTAATCCCCTCTAAATTTAATTTATCTCATTTTAAATTTAAATACTATCTATACCATTTTCGAGGAAACGGCGGGTGGCGAAATGGTGTTCACAAATTGTCACATCCCCCCCCCCCAACCCCCCCCCCCCCCTTTCGGGAAATGCCACCCCTCAATATAAAGAAAAATACTCCACCACGAGGAACAAACCCCACACTACTCCTGTTTGCTACGCCAAGGGTGGCGAAAATGTGTTCACAAAATTTCCCCCCCCCCCCCCCCACCCCCCCCCCCCCCCTTTCGGGAAATGCCACCCCTCAATATAAAGAAAAATACTCCACCACGAGGAACAAACCCCACACTACTCCTGTTTGCTACGCCACTTTCTTAACGTGGGAATTCTTGGACATTATGGATCGATATCGGTAATAAACAACCGACAGGACTAAAACTACATTTAAGTAAAACTTGATAACCGTTTGACTAAGAACACATTTTAAATCAAGTTAATGATAATACTCTAAGAGATAATACGTGTATACTTATATGCAATTTGTTGAGAAAGTTAAAAAAACAAAACAAAAAAAGTTAAGAGGGATTGAGATTGAAAGAATCCGTTTCAATTTAACCCCAATTCTGTTGGACACTAATCTATTACCAAAAAAAGTTGATTCCACCTTAATATTAAAAAAAAATATATATAGTGTTCAATTGTTGTCTGCAATACCTCAATATCTTTATCAAAACAATGAATTTTAAAAAAAAATCTAAATCTGTCCGATATCTATATATAATATAATGGGTCATGAATACGTAAACAAATTTGTACGAAAATAAATTAATTAAAAAAAAATAAAAAATTGATGAAAATAGAATGAACATCAAACAAATTTCCACAGCGACAAGACTATAGGCGAGGCAACAAGACTATAGGCGAGGCAACAAGACTATAGGCGAGGCAACAAGACTTATCAATAATACAGGAGTTAGTAGGCTACGTATTGTAGAAATTAAGAGAAGGGTGTAATAGCCCAGAAACTTATTTTTATAGATAATATTTGACTAAGCTATCCCAGCAGAAGGAAAGAAAAGTGTGTTATATATGATATATATAAACACATTTTCCTTATATATATATATATATATATATATATATATATATATATATATATATATATATATATATACACACACACACACACACACATATATATATATATATATATATATATATATATATATATATATATATATATATATATATTTACGGTTGATTTTAATTTTTAAATTTGACCTACCTCACAATCTTGTTTGAGAATAGCATAGAGCTCATTGAAATCATCTCGGCTAATTATTAGACCGTTTCGATAATTACTTTTAAATTCTGTATCTTTAAGAAGGGTGGTAGTGCTCTTGCTGCGCCTCTCTGAAGCTTTCAAGGCATACTTCTCGGTAAAGACGAGGTCGTTGGGTAGCAAATTGTTCGTGACACTGAAATAAGTTTTCTTTTTCTTGTGTTCCTGTTATATATGAGAAGAATAAATGCAAACAGCAAGTGTTGTTACTTTTTATGCATACATCATTCTAACACTGCATGTAGCGTATAGCATACACAAACCAGTAGCTGTGCGAGGTGTCGAATAGTTTCATTCGTCATATCACTTAGTTGTATTTGGTCATGTTATTTAGTTTCACTTGTCTTGTCACCTATTTTAGTTGGTCGTGTTGTTTAGGTTGGTTCGTCATGTCATTAATTAGTATAATTCGTCATGCTATTTAGTTTTATTTGCCACGCCCCTTAGTTCACTTCTTGTAGAGCTTTGTTTCATTTGACACGTTATTAAGTTTACTTAATCATGTATTTTAATTTAAATTGTCATTTTACTTATTTAAATCGCTATTTCTCTTACTATAATCCATCACATTATTAATTTTAATTTAAATTTTTAAAAAATATTAAAAAATTTTAACTTTGTATTGAGGTGTTCAATCACGTATGAACTTTAGTTAATAACATTTATACAAAAAAGAAAACTTAACATGAAAACTAAAGATCACATTTATGACATAAGTGGGTAAGTTAGGGAATAAAGTCAGCCACGCAACAGCTGGTTATGCTCGATCAATTTCGGAATAATTTATGTTTTCGGTTTAAATATAAAAGACAAGACGATTAGGCGTGCGTTTCGACCATCTAGACCAGTGGTTCCCAATCTTCCTAAAACCGCGACCCTTTAATACGGTACCTCATGTTGTGGTGATCCCCCTGCCATACAATTATTTTCGTTTCTATTTAATAAATATGTGTTTTCCGATGGTCTTAGGTAACCCCTGTGTAAAGATCATTCGATCCCCTAAGGGGTCGTGACCCACAGGTCAAGAACCGCTGATCTAGACTTTTACAATGACGGACAAATACCTTGTAGCTATACAAGCCCAATGTTCGTTGCAGAAAGGATTTCTTGTTATAATTGTCAAAAAACTGAAATATAAAATAATTAATAATGACCAATGGATGTTTTATGTGTTGTTTGTTATCATGTTAAGCAGTGTTATATATTGATTAGTGCAGGGTAGGGCTAGTTTTCAACTTAATCAGAGGGTTACTTTTGGCCACCCCCTTTTAGACTGGCTTGACCTTGACATATTCTTCACCGAGGGAATGTGGTGTCTTTTATTTACTGCCCGCCCATGTCTTTGCTGGAAAAAGAATTTGTTTACATTCGAATGCGTTCCGTTTCTTCTGAATAGTGCCAGCATCTGACGCAAATTCTAGATTTTATGTGCTAGAACGTTCGGATTTAATTCCTCTATTAATTGCGCCTACGTTCCTTAGCAGCTAGAATTACCGAGATTTGATTAGAGAAAGACTTAGGGAGACTTATAGAGACTTTTTATTATTGTTTGCATATGTAAATATTTCTATTTTGAGGAATGTAAGTTTTCCTCACTTGCAATACGTTGATAACGTTTTCTTCTGAACTTACATTTGTAATTGTATATAAATTTTTTAATAAAATTTAATTAAATGCTAGCAACGTTTTCTTCACTTTAAAGTTGATTAGTCTATAGTTAAATTGTATTTCTTATACGAGCTAACTATTAACACCTATTTAATCTTTATAAAAATAACGTTACATAGCAAGCAGTCTTGCAAAAATTAATTTTTTAGTTTGGCGCGATTTATTGAATGCATCTTTACCCAATCTGACGTCTTCAAGTAATCCGAGACATAGTTAACACAACTTTTTTTTTTTAAAAAAGCACATTTTCATTTTATTTGCATACTTTGCTAATGAAACTTGGACTTATCTCTCTCTAAATAGCTTATCTAATCTACATTTGCAAAAATGGTAAGTAAAAATTTTGCTAAAAATGCGGTTCCTAGCGTACCCCCACCCCAGCCCAATCACCAACACTGGTCTACCACTAATTGCCACACACGTTTTACCCGTCAGCCATGAAGTCGAACACATGAAGGCCCCCCCCCCCCCCGTCAGTCATGAAGGCGAGCACGTCGAAAGGTTCACCTGACCCGCCAGCAGAGGCATCTAAGCACCTATACCAAACCCAACCAATGGATCTGGCCGACTGATGCCTTAACGTCCTTACTCCACACCCCACCCCACCAACCGGAGTCCAGCAAATAGCTTGGCCTGAAGCTGGAATGAAACGATTGCTCAAGGAGTAACACCCTTACGGGTGTAAATATTTAATCATCAGTAACAGCCTTCCCTTACCCGCCTCTTAAACCATATTCATCAAGGATAACTGTTAATCCTAAGTACTGCATCCACAGTGCAATGATATCTAACTTTTACCTTCTGTTGTCGTTCTGCGCCTTTCGTCCACAATGACAGCTCGTTTTTATCAATGACTGAAATCTGAAAGTCTTCATTTGTGTTCAGGAAACAGGTCACGTTTTTCAGTAGCTCAGTCTTTGAAAAAGAATTTTCACTGAGATTTTTCTGAAAGCAAAATTTAATGAAAACTTTGAATCCTCAAACCCTGTGTCAGCTATGCATTTGTTTGAAGGGTATAAATTATATACTTTTATCAACCACTCTTTATCGTCATCATCATCATCAGTGGTGCTAAAGCCCAAGTAAGGTCCTGGTTTGCTCCACCACATACTTCCATTCGGATCGATCCAAAGCTTTCCGCCTTCGTGCGTGAACCCCCATCTTGTGTTAATCCTTCTTTACTTCGTTGATCAATCTCACTCTTGGGCGACAGGTAAGCCGTCTGCTCCTAGGTTTCTGCCTCTATATCACTTTTGCTGCTCTACAAACCAGCTTCCTTTCAATACTTTCTGCCCAGCGCAGTCAGTCTTTTTCATTGTTGATGGGATTTTTTACAATTGGTATATATCCTATTTTGTACGGATTCTTTAGAAAGCATTGTCTATCACTGAGCCATTATTTACTGAGGATTTTTGGAACAGTTGCTTGCTGTTATCATTTCTTTAACATCCGTAGTTATTTCACTGTGTTCTTTTTAGTGGCCTCTAGATATTTGAAAGTAGCTAGTCTCTCAACGGTGTGGGTTTTTTTATATTGATGTTGTCATCAGGGTTTTTGTTTTGTTACATTATCATATACTTTAGACATCACTGTCTAAACCCTAATGAATCACTGTCTAATCTCTAATCAATCTCTGTCTAATCCCTGATCACTCAAACTCTTATCAATCAAAATTCAATTAATAATAAATGTAAGAACACTAATCATTCACTCATCAATCACTTACTCATCGTACATTAGTAATAAGCAATACGAACAACATCTTTCTCGATTTGGAGCTAAAAGAAGTGCGATCTGATTTATTGACATGTCTTTTTTACTCCCAAATGACTTGAAAGTGGAGAATCGTGGGCTAAGTTCAGGACTTTGGTCCGGAAAAGTGTAGGAACTACTATTATCTGATGAAACATTCTCCATTCTTCGTTAGTTTTTGCGTCTGCAGGTCACCATTTTCTCATAAGTATTTCATCTTGTAGGTAATAACATACAGACAATTGCTCATCTTATTTGGTCAAAGAGTTCTCTCGAAGATTAAAGATTTCTGGATCACTCTTCTGCTCTTCAAAAAGCTGCATTCGTTTTGGTGTCTTCTGATCAGTTGATTTTTCGTTAAGACTGGCAAAAATGGTTATTCCCAGATCAATATCAGGATTGAATTTATTAACTTTTTGGTAAAATCTATTTTTCGGAGATCTTGGAACTCATTGCCCTTATTAAAAACCCATGCTGGATATAATTCTGGAATTTCTTCTTCAGATTAAATAAGAAACTAAGGTTCATGAGTAACAATTGGGTTCAGCTATCACATTTCACCAGCTAAGTCATTGCCTCAAGCAGCAACGAGATGCCGTGCATTGTTAACGTTGGTCGGCCATCAACAACCGCAGGTCCGGAGTCTAGATCTGATTTGAGATTGATGAGAAGTAAAGATACATCAAATCACCCCAGCTCTACACCTCGTAACAGGATGTTGCTCCCAGTCGCAGTTGTTTCAGACAAGGGAAGTTACCCTCAAATGGTAAGGACTGTAAATTACCTGTATCTCGAAAAATTTTGATTGGTCGTAAATTGGAAAAAAATCAACTGGCAGTGATACAAGTCCTTCGATATGAAAGGCATGAAGTCTTGTATGACATCAGTAGTTTATGATATAGATGTTTGGACTTTGGTAGGTGAACACTTTTTGAAGTCTTATAGAGTCGTCAAAACTTGCACACAATCCTCGGTAAGACGCCCTCTAGAGGTAGAATGCTACTAGCTTTATTATTCATTATAAAACTTTATGATGAGTCGTGACAAACCTCATTGCAGTTTCATGAACATCTGGAGAGCAAAAACTTTTGAATTTGAAAATGTGTTTCAAGATTTATAACGAAACGTACAAGCGAAGACAAGTTTGATGTAAGTCAATGCTCTTGAATTATTGTGCCTTTCATTTTTGGCGTCAAATGGGTTCTTTGAGAGGTGATATAAGATGGTGAAGTCATCAGCTAACACTGTTGCAGTATGCGCATCACCTTTGCCGTGGACTGCAATATGTGTTCGTACGAATACCAATTCTTGATCTCCTATATCAAGGATGAGGTTCTTGAACTGTTTGAAGTCAGTCTCGGTGTTCTTTGCGTGCAGCCACTTGTCCAGGAACCGTTCTTTTTCCCGGAGGAACTCGACATGAGTCTGGCCATCCAGTTTCCACAGCTCCCTAATCTTTTTACAGTAGGCTTCGGGGACACATTCATATTCCTTAAGGATTTTACACGGATAAATTACCCGCGCTTTTCCGCGTTCAAGTATACAAAAACTTCGGCCGCCCTACCAGTCAGATCCAACTGCAATAAGTTAGACCTCATATTTTCAGCAATTTTGAAATTTGAGCTGTTATTATAAACTGTGCAAAGTATTGGTCTACTTTTTTTCTGCAAATTTAGGTATTACTTTAGCAAATTTAATTGCATCCCAAGCTTGACTGGCAGGAGCCATGAGTCTATTTTCCATTGCTCCCAAATTTGCCGTCATTTCAATTTCTTTTAAGTTAATTTGTAGTTATTTATGTTTTCTTCTTTTTTTCTCTGTAGCTCCTACTTTATATGTTCAAGCTCTCGTTTTTTTTCCTCTTTGTAATTCTAGCTCCCTTTTTTAAAACGCTCGTTCCTTGTCCCTTTTTCTGTCTCTAAGCATCTAGCTCCATATGATTGAGCTTCAGTTGCAGCTCCATACTAGTATCATTCGTTTGTGTGACTGAGGACAGTTCATCCTCAGACAAAATATAATCATCCGCTAAGTGGACAATTATCAAATCTCGCACGGTCTTATTAATGTACAATCAGCTACATTTATTCCTAAATTTTAGCAATAGAAAATAGATTCTTTCCTGTACATTTGTCTAATGCCTCTACTGATGGGTTAGCCATATCAAAATCCATTTTGAAAATGATAAAATATAACAATAAGTTTTATGAATTTTTAAACTTAAGGAACACATTTATAAAAAAGTTAATTAAAAAATGTAACATTGTAACTGTCTCTGCTATTGGCATCGTAAAAATGGTATTGTGTTCTCAATTTAGTCCGCGTAAATTAAAGAAAACAGTGGGTCAAAATCCACAGATAAACACTAAATGTATTATTAGTGTAAAAAGAAATAAAAATATGGATTCAAGTATCCAGGGACAAGCAACCCAATTTTTGTTATTTACTTCGTATTGAGAAATTAATCTCTTATTTGAGTATTTGGCTCGATCTAAAACAGTACTCAACAAAAGACGATACCAGATGTTAATTACAAAAACAAAGAAAACGATACCCAAACTAGGGCTAATTACGATTAATGCATTTTATTAAGCTAATAATAAATTACAAATTCAAAAAGAAATACAATTGTATCTGTTGACTTTCAGAATAATGATTTGCTTGTTAAGGTAATATGTTGAAGAAGATACAATGTTTTTAAAAGGAACACTGATGAAAAGGAATCTTTACACAGCAAAAGTTCTAAAACAAATTTCTGTCTCGTATAGCACAACTCAATCGTAATCGCCATCCAAAAAAAAAATCCTCCGATACGTATATTTAGACAGTTTCATAGATATTTACAGAACGGGCTTAAACATTGTATTCCTCTGTAGATATCTCTACATAATTCTAATTATACAGACTATAAAGTTTATTTAGTCGTAAACAGGGGCAAAGGAATTATTTTTTTGTTGACCACACCCTAAATGCGGTTCCGAGCTTGGGGGTCAGCTAGAGTTCATTCACGAGGAAAGATGACGTAAACAAGTCGTCTACATAACAATAGGGAATTGGTATATAGTAAGTTTCATATGTATTTAAATAATGTATTTAACATTCTGTATAACAAATTTCATGTGGGGGTAAAGACAATGGGTATACTTTTGTGTGTATCACTATCTTTAAATCCGATGATATTACAGTCGTGACATAGAGGTTTTAATATGGGTATTTTTGTCGATGTGATTTACCAATTTAAGAACATAAAAGTTCAAGGGCTTTTACAAGTGATAGATACATTTACATAAATATACCAACACCTCAAAAACGTTTGAAAGTTGAAAAAAGTAGACGCCATTTTCATTGCAACTGGGGACAATTAATCTTTCAAATTTTCAGAGCGAGGACTGAAAGATATAAACATTTATTTTTGTTCCCCAGTCTTTAGAAATATACCAGCGTGCTCGCCCTGAAGTAACAAATCTAAATGAGAACTACTAAGTCCCTGATATGCATAAGATATTTCACCAAATGGCTTCTTTTTTCGGGAGGGAAATAATTTAATTTAGATGTCTTGTGTTCAAATTGTTTTATTTATGTGCTGAAAATATGCAATGCAATAAAAAAACAAACATTTCCCTTTGTTTGGATCAATACAAAAATTGTGTCATATCTTTTTCTTACAGTTCAAGAGTAGGCACATATTTATAGGGATAAACAACGCTTACCTAAAACAATTTATTGTAAATATTTCTTGAAAATACATATTACGCATCAAAGAAAGAGAGTGGGAACATTTTCATTGCAATAAACATCACCCGCTTTTACTCACAAGAAAAATTTAACACCAAAAGTAAAAACAAATACGTATTAAAATATTCTTTCAAAATATTAAATTACATTTGTTTCCCTTTAGCGAAAATGAAATGTAAAAACATTAAGTTAACATTTTTTATGAGGTTAATGATATTTAAATTTAAAAAAAGGCAACTCAACGCTGTTAAAGACTTTAAAATTAGCTGAGATATTATTGAATGCTTAGAATTCTGAGTTTTATGATTTTCTGAAGCGTTTGTTACTATTTAATTAAGACACGACTTTAAAAAATTCCGTTAATGTTAAAGTTGTTTAAAATGGTATTCAATTTTTTGTTGTAAGTTAAAGGACATGGGTTGTTTAATTTTTTGTAGTTGTTTTGTTTTTTTGTTTTTGTAAATTCAGCGTCCTGTTCATTTGTAGTGTAGGAATAGATTATAATGAAAATAACTATATCTGTTACAAGTGATAATGACAACAAAACCTCAATACTTCTTTTTAAAACAAATAAAGTCTGATTAACTATTTAGTAAATATATAGTTCAAGGAATATTTATATGCCTACATTTTTTATTGTCAGATGTTATGGCTTTCCAATACAAGTTTAAAGTGTCATACAACGCCTTCCATTATTATCCGATTTACATCGAGTCAAATATTTCTAATATGTAATATTGGTCGAAGACTTGTTTAATACTTACAACTAGCTATTGAACCGCTTTTACAGTTAGTTGCTCTTAACAATAACAATTAAATAATTTAAATGAAATCTAAACAATATTATTAAAATTATTTGATTGGGCCCAAAATTAAGCCGTGTTAAGCTCATTTTGTTGTGGTGAGACTGTGGGACAAGGTTGTGAAAACACATCTTGATAGGACAGAGACGGATTTTCCCTCTATAAAACGTGTGTGACATGTAATATGCAGTTTCAGCACCTACCTCATAGTCTCTATAGTTAGGCAGACAAAACTGACGGACATCTCGGCACGTGTAAGGGTGGTAAGACTTGACGTCAAACTGTCTGCTGGATCAAACACGTGAGTCAGTGACAAAAATATTTTATGATATTACTATTGGGATCTCTAGAGACTTTTGACATTAGTGAAGTATGTGTTTCCACTTTGCTCATCTGTATGTTCACATGTTTGCCTGACGGTCTAAGAGTAAGTGTAATTATGTGCATGTCTAGAGTAATTTAAATTATAAGCATGCCTAGGGTTAGTGCAAATATCATAATCTCTATGTTAAGAAATAAATATTACTATGACTAATGTTATTGAGAATATCATTTCTAGATTAAATTTTGGTTCCAATATGTCTAAACATCTCAATGTCATACGACTAAGCCATACACAATAAAGTAACTTAATTTTAAAAAAAACATACATAATTTGATAAGGGATTGATATTACGTTCTTACAATCCCGGCTAGCACATTGGCAATCAACCCCATCTGCTGAGCTGAACCTTATAAAATCTTCCTCACGTTTGGCTCTTTTACCGTCCTAACCTCCCCCGAAACACCTAGTGACGGGCATTCGGTCAGCAAAAGAGCTAGAGTTTCCGGAACCAGGCCGCAATACCGGCATGTAGGATCCCTGTAATGGTCTAGATGGAATAGTGGTTGGTACACATCATTTTCACCATACCCTGCTGCCTACTACCTAGCCAAAAATAAGTATCTTGTCTTTTAGTAGAGAATACACCTTTGGCTTTGATGCTGTTTGCCCACTGACTGTACTTTTATGCGCTAAAATCATCTGCTAACCATTTGTGATATTCCTTTTTTTTGTATCATGTTTTTTACTGATATTTTGGAAAAGGCCGGGCAGGTCCCCCCCCCCCCCGATTTTGCCCCAATCTTTGCTTTTTTTTTTTTCCCCTCATATATTCCTTTTTTTTGTTACATGTTTTTTTCTGATATTTTGGGAAAAGCCCGGCAGGTCCCCCCCCCCCCCGATTTTGCCACAATCTTTGCTTTTTTTTTGCCCATGATGTCAGCGTTCGCTGGAATCCACTGTGCTGTTACCGTGCTCCGGGTTCACTGATCTTACGCACGACATTTAAAATGGCGCCAACAAAGTGATTGGTACCCGCCTCCTTACTCAGGATCTGAAGACCAGATGAAGAGTCGGAGTAAACAATTACTTGTGATGCACAGTTTCCAGAGCGCTTTGCATAGCCTCCAGATCCGCATCGAAATTCGACGCTGTACTTCCACAGGGCCGTGAAAGCTCCTCATTCTGTTGCCCTCCAGTATGGTATAGGACGAGCGAACCATACAATGCATTTATTTCTCTCGTATGGGCAGAACCACTGTGAAAACGTTTAGACGGATTTTGGAAAACCCTTCCATGGTCTCTGAAGCAGCTGCACTTCATACATGTTGAGGGCTGCATCTCGTCACTGATGTGTGTGTCACAGGCCAACTATCTATTGTGTCTTGATGATTCCACATACAGTGGTTGAAAGCTAGCCAAACATTACGAACTACGGTAACGAAATTTTACAAAGGTAGCAAAAATATACGAACAGTGATGACTGGACATACTAACTTTGGTAGATCGGAAATATGATTACTGTTCCTGATGCCGAAACTCTGAGCTAAGGCCTGTGGTAGAATACTATGGAGATTTCTCTGAACAGATGAATAGAGATAAATGTATTTTAAACAATGATCTTAAAGGAAAAGTTTTATGATTAGATTAACTAATGGATGAAAAATAATTACATGATAAATGTAAAAACCGTGTTGAGTTGTTCGTTAAATGGCTGATTGGCTGGAACTGTGCAGAAGCAATGCAGTATAGAGGATGAATGAAAGTACGTGTGGGACGGTCAGATCATGTGACGTGTTCTTATACTGTCATTTCTTGTGTATTTTGTTAATATATGGTAGTTGAAATCAGCCACGTCTAGCTACGGAGTGATCATTGAAATAAGCCACGTCTAACAACTGAGTGATCATTGAAATAAGCCACGTCTAAGTACTGAGTGATCATTGAAATCAGCCACGTCTAAGTACTGAGTGATCATTGAAATCAGCCACGTCTAACTAATGAGTGATCATTTGACCGGGGCTTTGAAAACAAACAATAAAAATGTTTGCTCATTTTGTATAGCAGAGATTGCATCGACTTTTTGTGAGAGTCAGTTTTGGAAAAATGTATTGAGATGGTGGTTTTGGAAACGCCACATGTTGTCTGTAAATCCCATTTGTGGGAAGGAACATATTTCTGTCAAGTTAAGAATTCGGAGTGTTAACAGTCTCTAATGTAGCTAATAACGCCATTCATTTTCCGAACAAGTGCGTGGCAATTATTAATTTAAAAGCCTGTGAACCAAGGCCATTAATTAACGTGGATCAGTGTTCATATTATTTATTATTGTACAAATCAGACTCATATAGAGCATGAAGGTGTATTTCTTTGGATAGGATGTAGGGGACCCAGGCAAAGACAATTTTGTTCCATTAAGGCGTCTATAGATAGATGGACAAGGATAATTAAATACATGAATGTTGGCGTGCTGATGAACAAATATTTAATACTGAAATAATGTTAAATTTTCAAGGAAACAATATCTATAGATCAATGAATTTATGTAGATATGTTGTTGAAAGAATGTTAAATATTTTTATAAATGTTATTCAATTTTTAAAGGTAAATATATATATGAATGTTGATAATTATGACAGCACCAAAAGAAAATATCTATATACGACTTCATCAAATTTGCATATCCTCAAAGCCCAAGTTAACTCTGCACGTGTAGTTGTCCCGTCAATGCCCTGCACCTACTGCACAAGAACATTTTGTGCCGGGATCGGTCTCATTAGCCATCTGCGCACCCACAAACAGAAAAAGTCAATTTCGGATTATTAAGATAGCCTTGACCGATTTCGACGGACAAACTAAGACTTACAGTTTAAAAAACGACAACATAATTTCACTCGTCAGATCTTGTTTACGAACCTGATCAAACGTGTTCTTAGCGCATCCTTGGCCTCGGTACCTCAGTTGTATATCCATTGCACCTTCAGCTCTACAGTTGATTAAAAAAAAAAAAATGTTGATCATTTTTTTTTGCCAGCAGTAGACATGGTCCAAAACGAGATAAAGATAACAACATTGTGTACAGTAATTTTAAGGCTGCTCATTTAGGGAAGAGGTTGGGTAAGGTAAAGAAGGTACAGAGTCAGGGGGGGGGGTAGTGGGGTAAGATATACAAGTTATAAAGTAGGTGGGGATAAATTAGCGTACTGTATAGAAGGTATACGATAACTTCAGGAGAAGGTTGGGTAATGCAATGAAGGTCAAGCGTATGTGGGTAGAATAACGGATACTGTATACAAGATATAGGGTAGGCTTGAGAGAAGGTGGGGTAATCAAATGAGGTAAATAGTAATTGGCAGACAAGGTGATGGTAGTTATAGAAAGTATACAATAAGCTGTGGAGAATTTAGCGTAGCGTTAGAAGGAATCGGACAAGTTGGCACTAACATGGGGTGTTGTACAGAAGAGATGAGATCAATGGCATATGAAGTTATGTATGGTAATTGGTAAACAAGGAATTGGGTATTTGGGGGAGAGGATGGTGAGTCGGTGGGGTAAAATATAGAAAGTATTAGATTAAATGGGGGAGAAGGGGGTATGTAGAGAAATTTTAGCTCTATTGAGAGACGGAGGAATTGTATAAAATGTTTAGTGTAAGTTTGGGATAAGGTGGGGTAATGTATTGACGGTATGATGTAATTTGGGGATACGTTGGGGTCATGTATAGACGATATGATGTAGGTTATGGATAAGGTGGGGTTAATGTAGAGTCGGTATGATGTAAGTTGTGGATAAGGTGAAGTAATGTTTAGACGGTATTAAGTAAGTTGGGGAAAAGGTGGGGTAATGTATTGACGGTATGATGTGAGTTGGGGAGAAGTTGGAGTAATGTATAGATGGTATGAAGTAATTTGGGGAAAAGGTGGGATAATGTAATAATGTTGGAGTAATGTATAGACGGTATGAAGTAATTTGGGGAAAAGGTGGGATAATGTAATAATGTTGGAGTAATGTATAGACGGTATGAAGTAATTTGGGGAAAAGGTGGGATAATGTAATAATGTTGGAGTAATGTATAGACGGTATGAAGTAATTTGGGGAAAAGGTGGGATAATGTAATAATGTTGGAGTAATGTATAGACGGTATGAAGTAATTTGGGGAAAAGGTGGGATAATGTAATAATGTTGGAGTAATGTATAGACGGTATGAAGTAATTTGGGGAAAAGGTGGGATAATGTAATAATGTTGGAGTAATGTATAGACGGTATGAAGTAATTTGGGGAAAAGGTGGGATAATGTAATAATGTTGGAGTAATGTATAGACGGTATGAAGTAATTTGGGGAAAAGGTGGGATAATGTAATAATGTTGGAGTAATGTATAGACGGTATGAAGTAATTTGGGGAAAAGGTGGGATAATGTAATAATGTTGGAGTAATGTATAGACGGTATGAAGTAATTTGGGGAAAAGGTGGGATAATGTAATAATGTTGGAGTAATGTATAGACGGTATGAAGTGATTTGGGGAAAAGGTGGGATAATGTAATAATGTTGGAGTAATGTATAGACGGTATGAAGTGATTTGGGGAAAAGGTGGGATAATGTAATAATGTGGCGTGATGTAGAGAAGTTACATTTTCAGTGGCGGTGTTTGACTTTAAAGTGCGTGCTAACACATTCCATTCTTGATATGCATGTTGTTGTTGTTTGTTTTGTTTTTTTTAATTTTAATTATATCAAATTTAAGTTTAGGAAATGGGGAGTGTGTTCAGCTTCATAAAAAGTGGCTCGTGCCAGTCGGGGTGGTTTAAGATTTTTGACGCCATCCTCTTGCGAAAGAAACCTCTGCAGTTGGCCCAAAATGCCTCCTTTCCCTATACAGAAAAAACGCGCCTCTCGGAGTGGACCTTCCCCCCCCCCTCCCTCCAACTTCCTACAGCGTCATGCATAATCAAAGTAATTACAGCCAGAATGTTAAAAAATTATAGATTTTACACTAATGTATTTGAACAAAACTTAAGAAATATATGCTATGCAGACATATTGTAATAATGTGTTTAAAGAAAAAAACTTCTTGGACGGGAAAGGCATAGAAATGTATTATAAAACAACTTACCCCTTTTTTTAACAGAAAAAGACAAAGAAAAAAATCAAGCACCGAAGTCAGTCAAGTTGACTCAAGGGGGCAGTTACTTACTTGCATAAAGTTGTGAGCCTGGCATGCACAGGGCAGAATTGTGTGGCCTTCCTATTCAAGTGGCTATTTTTTTCTATCCTGCAGTTTATAAGGTCTGCAAATCGGGAAATCCCTGAATCCTTACGTAATGCTACCAAGAAAAGTGGTACCGTAAATCTGATATTGTTTAACTCTTTTTGGTTTGGTATTTCTTTTTTCTGGATTTCTTTCAATCATTATATGAACTTTGACTTAATTGCAATATTAAAATACTCGATTGGTATTACAATTAAATAAAGACCAAAGAATTATTTTTTTTAAAAGTAATATTTTGTTTGATAAAACGATCAGGTGATTATAAATGTATATAAATAAATAAATACGTTTTTTTAAATATATATATATATATATATATATATATATATATATATATATATATATATATATATATATATATATATAGAGATCAAACAATATGTTTTAATAATATATATATATTCATATGCATATAAAGAGCTCACAAAATGTCATATTAAATAACAAACATGGCATATTTTTAATGCGTAATATTGTTTTCAGTCGTGTGTAGACCGCCAAAAATCACTAAGGTTCTGTGTTAAAAAATCACCATTACAGTGAATAACTATAATATTCAAGTCTCTCGTCTTAGACAATAATCAGAAGGCCGATAAAGGAGTATGTTATTGCATCGTGGGGTGCTCCCTCCCCCCAGGAGTACTTCCTCCACCAAGGGGTGCTCCCTCCATCAAGGGGTTCTCCCTCCCCCAAGGGGTGACATGACATTTCAGCTGTTGTGAAGGAAAGAGATTTTGAGGACTGGGGGCCAAATGACTTTTACGCTAAAAAAATTAATGATTGTAGTCCTATATATCATCATTTTGCTCATCAACATTTTAACTTAACGTTAACATTTGGCATTGCTAACATTTTTACTTCATGTTAACGTTTAACATTGTAGACATTTTTACTTTATGTTAACATTTAACATTGTTGACATTTTTACTTCATGTTAACGTTTAACATTGTTGACATTTTTACATCATGTTAACGTTTAACATTGTTGACATTTTTACTTCATTTTAACGTTTAACATTGTTGACATTTTTATTTCATGTTAACATTTAACATTGTTGACATTTTTATTTCATGTTAACGTTTAACATCGTTGACATTTTTACATCATGTTAACATTTAACATTGTTGACATTTTTACTTCATGTTAACGTTTAACATTGTTGACATTTTTACTTCATGTTAACATTTAACATTGTTGACATTTTTACTTCATGTTAACATTTAACATTGTTGACATTTTTACTTCATGTTAACGTTTAACATTGTTGACATTTTTACTTCATGTTAACATTTAACATTGTTGACATTTTTATTTCATGTTAACGTTTAACATTGTTGATATTTTTACTTCCATGTTAACGTTTAACATTGTTGACATTTTAACTTCATGTTAACGTTTGACATTGTTTACATTTTTACTTCATGTTAACGTTTAATATTGTTGACATTTTTACTTCATGTTAACATTTAACATTGTTGACATTTTTACTTCATTTTAACGTTTAACATTGTTGACATTTTTACTTCATGTTAACATTTAACATTGTTGACATTTTTATTTCATGTTAACGTTTAACATTGTTGATATTTTTACTTCATGTTAACGTTTAACATTGTTGACATTTTAACTTCATGTTAACGTTTGACATTGTTTACATTTTTACTTCATGTTAACGTTTAACATTGTTGACATTTTTACTTCATGTTAACGTTTAACGTTGTTGACATTTTTACTTCATGTTAACGTTTAACGTTGTTGACATTTTTACTTCATGTTAACGTTTAACATTGTTGACATTTTTTCTTCATGTTAACGTTTAACCTTGTTGACATTTTTACTTCATGTTAACGTTTAACATTGTTGATATTTTTACTTCATGTTAACATTTAACATTGTTGACATTTTTATTTCATGTTAACGTTTAATATTTTTGATATTTTTACTTCATTTTAACGTTTAACATTGTTGACATTTTAACTTTATGTTAACGTTTAACATTGTTTACATTTTTACTTCATGTTAACGTTTAACAATTTTGAAATTTTTACTTCATGTTAACGTTTAACATTGTTGAATTTTTTACTTCATGTTAACATTTAACATTGTCAACATCTGTACTGTATGTGAAGATTTAGCAGTGTCCACATTGTTACTTTAAGAAACACTTAATTTTTTAAAATAATTCTTTTACTCTTTATGTAATTCGATCAACACATTAGAGCTCTAATATTGCTCTACAATTAGATAAATAAAATAATAGCCAACCCCTAGAAACAAAGTTTTTCGTACAAAATCGTTCACACTCCGTTTTGTTTGCCATCTTGTCATAGTACTGTTAGTACGTGAATTATATCGCTCATGTGATTGTAGTAAAAAGCAAACAATAATAAAGCAAACTAGAAAAAAATAAACAAACAAATTACAAATATAACGTAATTAAGAGACACCTACTTGGATAAAAGAAATGATTGATCGTTCATATTATAATTATAGGATATTTTTTAATATAATGTTGTATTAATACATATTAAACGATATTATATTATTTTATATTATAATACTGCAATTTGTAAAATGTTATTCTCGTTTTATTGTTATCAAAACGAGAACCATAAAACATGTGACATTATTTAATGTACGATCATAAATTACGAAACAGATTCTCAAATGATATTTTCATATCAGATCAATTTGTTCTATATTAGAAAAATAACTTTTGTTACACTATAATTATTATCATAATTATTATCCGAGTTATTCACCATAATTGAAACTCGTCTGGCACAAACTCCCAATTCAACCGTTTTTCAGTTAAATTTTTAAAATGATATTTTACTGTACTGAAAATTTCTGAGGAGATGTTCTCCGCCTGCGGTTTTCTCAGTTCCAAAATTATCGAGAGCATTTCTGCCAGGCGGAAAATTCCAGCCGAGCGCTCGCGTTAATGTAACAGCGTCTATTTATAGAACCACGTAAAGGCTGGTGGTTAGCCTTTGGACCCAGGAAATAGAAAGAAATCTCTTCTAAAACAGGTTGATCACTTGTGTTATGTTCGATGTGCATCACATCCATCATTTGTATACTGGGTGCCATTCCTATTGATTTGTTTATTGAAAAAGTTGAAAGAAATTATGAAATAAATGAAAGAAACAGTCCAAAAAGTGAAGCTGAATTTATGATCAAAGAATAACCCAAACAGAGCGAATTATAATTAATTATATATCTTTAATACTATGTCCATGTTTATCATCAAAATGTTTTGTAGGCGGTCAAAGTAACCAAGCTAACAACATAATTTAGAGCAAATCAAAGTGAACTACCTAGGATACAGTCTACTAAACATCTAAGGCACCTAAGACATCTAACCTGTGGGTCGCGACCAATTTGGGGGAGGGGGGGTCAAACTACCCTTTCACAAGGGTCGCCTTTGACCATCGAAAAACACACACACACTCTACTGTAATGGAGTAGCAACGAAAATAGTTTTGTGATAAGCGGGGTCGCCACAACATGAGGCATTGTATTAAAGCGTCGCGGCATTAGGAAGGTTGAGAACCACTGACCTACAGTCTCCTCTAGGGACGCCATGCGTGTGTCCATGCTACTGAACGACGACTTGAACAAAAGGTAGACACCCAACGACACATTCAGCTATACATAAGAGGGTGCAACTCTCTTTACAACACTAGGTTGTCTGGTGCAGATTATTCGTAAAACTTGTAGTGCGTTAAGTGGTAAGATAACATCAAACTAGGTGATGCCGTGCGTAGTGCAGATGACAGAGGCAAATGGAGGAGGATAGTTCACATGTCATCTGTGGCGCCCCAACGGTCCAAAGACTAAGGGACATGGTGATGAGGATGATGATGAGTGTGTTAAGTACTATTTATTTACACACTCAACAATTTGTACGCAAACTTGAATACAGAGCTCTATAACACACACATTTTATAGCACACATCTACGCGTGTTCATACACCCTATAACAAAACAAACACTTGTGTACACATTCTCTTTAACACACCACATCAATGTGTGTGCATTCTTTTTACATCCACAAAAATGTACTTTAAATACTCTCTAAAACAGGGAGGCACCTTTGTTCATACTCTCTAGATTTATAAATATTTTTTAATGTTTTTATTATTTAAGGAAAAAAACGAAATGAATCCATCTCCGTTAAAACAGTGGTTGACTGTGTGATGGAAACATCAAACAGTGGTTGACTGTGTGATGGAAACATCAAACAGTGGTTGACTGTGTGATGGAAACATCAAACAGTGGTTGACTGTGTGATGGAAACATCAAACAGTGGTTGACTGTGTGATGGAAACATCAAACAGTGGTTGACTGTGTGATCGAAACATCAAACAGTGGTTGACTGTGTGATGGAAACATCAAACAGTGGTTGACTGTGTGATGGAAACATCAAACAGTGGTTGACTGTGTGTCAAACAGTGGTTGACTGTGTGATGGAAACCACGTATTAATTTTGGGAGGTGAGCATTAGTGTGTTGACTATGGAACCTGAGATTAAGGGATTGATGTGGAAAGGTGATTAAATGATATATTTTGATAGGTCCTTTGGTGTCAGGTCGACCTTGCTATTGGCCTGCATTGTTTCTTTAACGACGTTTTAAAAAAAATGGAGGAAAATAGGCAGATAATGTTGTAGCTCAACTGTGATTTCCTCGTACAGGATTTCATGATAATGTCCATTTAAAATTCATGTACACAGACATTTTCATCCAATTTAAAATAACTTCCATATTTTCCGTCGTATAAGAGGACCTTTTAACCCATGAATTTCTTTTCAAAAGTCGGGCGTCGTCTTACACGCATGGGGGTCGTCTTAAAAGCATGGGGGTCGTCTTAAAAGCATGGGGGCGTCTTATAACCTGGTGTTAGGCGTGATGAAACTTCAGGGACAGGCGCCCTCTAGCTGAGCCACCCTGCGCTGCCATGGTTGGAAATAAAACTGTC